ATTAGTTGGGGGACATAATTTTATAAACAGAGAAAAAAAAATTAGTTGGAGGCAATTTTTTCTTTTTTACCATTAAATTTAAAATATTTTAGATTAAATTTACCTAAATTATTTAAGAAAAATAAAAAACAGTAGGAGGCATGTGACTGTGACCCCGTTGGATGTCTGCCCCTGTTAGAGATCATAGAATTTTGATTGTGATGATAATGCAGAATAAAACTTTAGGTTTATGATTGTGTATGGGAATCTTTGAAAGAAAAAGTTATAGAATTTGTTGAAATTTAACAAAAAAAAAAAGCCAATGAAGAAGAAGAATGCTGTGATGTGGTGATGGTGGGATAATGGGAAGTGGAATGTGGTGAATTGGTAAATTTGTTTTTGTTGTAGTTTTTGAATTTTGAGTTTTCATAGAAGTTTCCGATCATTTAGGTGGCTTATGGTGACGAGGAGGAACCGGAGATCAGCATGCAGGGAGCCGACTGAAGTGGAGGAGGATTGTTCTATGCAGGGAGTTGACTGAAGTGGGGGAGGATTGTTCTATGCAGGGAGCCGACTAAAGTGTAGTGTGTTCTGCTCATATTTCAACATAAAATATACATATATTGAGTCCGTTTTACATATGGGCCTCCAAAAAATAATTAAAATCATATTTTTTTCTTAAGGTTTCAAAGTTTAAATGTGTAATGATCACAAAATTATTTTTACAAGTTAGATTTTGTTTACACCGAAACAGTAAAATCTTTACAGTGAAATTTTATCTATAATCATAGCCTAAACAAAATCGCGAAGCTCAAAAGTGTAGGTCTACGTTCTAGGTTTCGGAAACCATCGCTAACCTCAATCACGAAGCTCAAAAATCAAAATTATGTAAATTTTATGGACTATTAGCTAATTATAGGTAAAGATGAGTAAGAGTTTGTGTTCTAACGTAAGAGATAAAGAAAGAGAGTGGAGGGAGCAAAGCTTTTATTCTTTTCACTTATATTCTCTTTGTTGTAGTTGTAATGGTAGTAGTACCTTTCTCTTCATGACAATCATCTATTTATACATGAAGAGATAGAAAAAAATCAAGACATGTGTAATGGTGATTAGGATATCACCTCTTTCTAATACAAATATTAGTGTCCAACTAATTGACAAGGGTCCAAGGAAGTGTAGAAAGATGATAAGTAACAATGATGGATAATCATACCTTTTTCTTAACACTCCCCCTTGAGTATCCATCACCATTGATGTGTTGCATGTTGCCTCATTAAAACCCTATCATGGAAAAACTCATTTGGGACAAAAACCATGAAAAGGAAAAAGAGTACAACCATGAAACTCCCCCTGGATATACTCTTTCTTTTTTAGATCTTGTAGACGTCGCATTCCAATGCTGTGAACATGCTTTCTGAATGTTGTAGTAGAAAGCACCTTCGTAAAAAGATCTGCAGCATTGTCACTTGAACGAATGTATTGAATGTCCACTTCTTTATTTTCTCGAGCTCTTGAGTGTTGGAGAAAAATCTTGGAGGGATGTGTTTTGTTCTCTCACTTTTGATGTAGTCTTCTTTGAGTTGAGCAACACATGCAGAATTATCTTCAAACAATTTTGTTGGCTCCTTATTCATGATTATGCCACTTGCTTCTTTTATGTGATGAATCATAGATCTGAGCCATACACACTCTCTACATGCTTCTGCAATAGTTTCTGCATAATTTGAGGAAGTGGCGACCAGTGTCTGCTTTTGAGAACGCCAAGAGATTGTAGTACCTCCAAATGTGAAAACAAATCCGGTTTGCAATCGAGCTTTATGTGGATCTGATAAAAACCTGCATCTGCAAAACCAACTAAACCGAATTTGGCGTTTCTAGGGTAAAATAATCCCATATCAATTGTTCCTTGAAGATAACGGATAATAAGTTTAATTCCATTCTAATGTCTACGTGTAGGGGACAAACTATATCTTGCAAGTAGATTGGTAGCAAATGCTATGTCCGGTCGGGTACAATTCGCAAGATACTTCAGGACCTAATATTTCTTTGTTATCTTCACAAGGTCGGAACAGATCTTTTTCATATCAAGAGATCGATTAACCATTGGAGTACTCAAAGGAGTCGCTTTATCCATACGAAAGCGCTTTAATACCCTTTTAGTGTAATTTGATTAATGTACAAATACTCCATCTCGAAAATGCTCTAGTTGTAATCCAAAACATAACTTTTTGTTTCCGAGATCTTTCATTTTCAAACATTTCTTTCATATGATCTCTCGCTTCTTCAATATCCTTTTGAGTTCCAATTATGTTCAAGTCATCAACATAGCAGCAATGATCACAAATCCAAATAAAGATTCCTTAATAAACACAGAAGGGCATATCGCATTGTTAATATATCCTTTACTCAACAAGTATTCACTTAGACTATTATACCACATTCGTCCGGACTGTTTTAATCCATAAAGTGATCTTTTATAATTTGACTGAACATATTTCTTTTGATTTGGAACTTTATGCTTCAGGCATTTTCAATCCTTCTGCGATTTTCATATAAATATCATTATCAAATGATCCATATAGATATGCTGTCACAACATCCATATGGTACATTTCTAAATTTTTAGAGGCTGCAAGACTCATTAAGAATCATAATGTTATTGCATCCATGACTGGAGAATAAGTTTCTTCATAATCAATTTCCGGTCTTTAAGAATATCCTTGAGCGACAAGTCGGGCTTTATATCTTGTCACCTCATTTTTTTCATTTCTTTTTCTTACAAAAACCCATTTGTACCCAACCGGTTGTACATCTTTAGGTGTTGTGACAATAGGCCCAAACACATTTCTTTTATTGAGGGAGATTAATTCAGTTTCTATGGCCATTTTCCACTTCTCCCAATCAGATCTTTTATGGCATTCCAATATGGACCTTGGATCTGGATCATCACTTTCATATTCAATTTCTTTAAATACAGAGAATAAGAAAATTCCATCATTATCTTCTATATCTTCTCTATCCCATAATTTTCTGTTTTGGGCATAGTTGATGGAAATTTCATAATTTTCTTTTTCATTTTCGTCTTCTAGACTTTTCTCTGTATGTGGTTCTTCTAAACCCTTATCATTTTGTTTCTTCCGGGGATTTTTATCTTTTGATCCCATTGGTCTCCCCCTTTTTAACTGAGCTTTGGGTTCATTTGCTACTTTTCCATCAATTTTTTCTTCCGGAATACAAATTCTTGATGGAGCATTTGCAGCGGGTACATATGACTTTGTCACCCTTCTTGTACCAGTGAATGCATCTGGTAACTGATTTGCCATCTTTTGTAAATCTACAATTTTTTGAACATCAAGTTCATATTGCTTTGTAGGGGAATCAAGGTACAATAAAGATGGTGTGTACTATGTAACATCTTTTGAAATTTCTTTAATTCTTCCCCCTAACGCTGGAAATTCATTTTCATAAAAATGACAATCGGCAAAACGTGGCGTAAACATGTCACCAATTTATTGTTCAAGGTATCGAAAGATACTTGGTGATGTATAACCAACATATATTTCCAATCTTCTTTGCGGCCCCAGTTTTGTTCTTTGCGGTGGGACTATAGGAACATAAACCGCACATCCGAAAACACGAATATGAGATACATTTGGCTCCTGGTCTGATGCTAATTGTATTGGAGAATATTTATTATAAGAAATTGGTCTTATCTGAAGCAATGCCGCTGCATGCAATATAGCATGACCCCATACAGAAATTGGGAGTTTCGTTCTCAATATTAACGGTCTTGCAATCAATTGCAACCGCTTAATCAAAGACTCAGCCATGTCATTTTGTGTGTGAACATGCGCAACATGATGTTCAACATCAATTCCCAATAACATACAATAATCATTACAAGCTTGGGAAGTGAATTCACCAGCATTGTCAAGTCTTACTTTCTTTATGGCAAAATCAGGGAATTGTGCTCGCAACTTAATTATTTGGGCAATGAATTTCCGAAAGCCATATTTCTTGTGGTCAAGAGACACACATGCGACCATCTAATAGATGCGTCAATTAATACCATAAAAATCGAAATGGCCCGTATGGGGGGTAAATAGGTCCACATATATCACCATGTATTCTTTCTAAAAATAGTGGAGATTCATTCCCGATTTGGCTGGCGATGGCCGGGTTATAAGTTTTTCTTGAGAACAATCATTACATATAAATTCTCTCGATTGAAAAATCTTCTGGTTTTTCAACGGATGGCCATTAGAAGTTTCCACAATGTTTCGCATCATGACTGATCCAGGGTGCCCCAATCGTTCATGCCAGATTTTGAAAGTACTTGTAAACTTCGGGTTTACCGTAACATATGATTCAGTCATACTTATCTTTGTGGAATATATTCCGGAGGATAATGCTGGTAATACTTCTAATACAACTTTTCTCTCCGAAATAACTGATGTAATGCAAAAAAATTCAATGTAATTTTTATTCATAGTTTCTACATGATATCCATTTCTGCGAATATCTCTGAAACTTAGCAGATTTCTATAAGACTTTGGGGAATATAAGGCATCATTTATCTCAAATTTTGTTCCCCTTGGCATTGAAAAGCTGACTCTTCCGGAGCCCATAATAATTTTTGCATTACTGGATATAGTATTCACGCTTCCGGCAGAATCTTTCATTGTAAGAGAGGAGAAATATTTTTTATCCTTAAGTGTTGTGTGCGTTGTAGCAATGTCTGCCCGACATATATCTCCATTCTCGATTTCAAATTTTGCCATTTTATGAATCTAAAATATTAAGATGTATTATTAAACATAACAAAAGATTTATATATTAAGACATATATCAAATTTTGCCATTTTCTGAAGCTAAAATATTAAGATGTATTATTAAACACAACAAAAGATTTATATTATAATAAAACTATTTTACAAACAGAAAGTATATAGATAAACATTAGGATTTATTTTCTTAAACATTACGATATATCATGTCACATTTTCTTCTTCGAGAAGATCTTAGTTGTTTTGCTTTCCGTTGATATCTTCAGGATCAACTATGAAATCTGCAATGTCGAGATGTGTATCACTTATACCATCGAAAGAAGGCCCAGGTTCACCATGGATGAAGTTAGCTTCACCTTCTTTTGCTTTGGCCTATTGTGATTCTTGATATAGATCGGCCAAATATTTTGCCGTACGAAAGGTACGGGACCAATGTCCTTTTATGTCGCATCTATAACAAGTAGTATTATCATACTGCTTATTCATTTCTTGGCCATCTTCATTTCTTTTATTATTCCTTCCATTGGTGAAGTAATTAGAGCGGAGCCTTTTGCTACATCCACGTCCACGTCCACGTCCATATCCTCGTCCATGACCTCGATTGTTACCATGGCCGAGTCCTTGTCCTTGTTGCCAATTATTAGCATTGGACGATGCAACATTCACTTCTGGGAGTGGAGCTGATCCAGTTGGACGAGATTGATGGTTTAACATCACAAGTTCATTATTTTGTTCTGCTACCAGGAGAACTTGCATTAACTCAGAATACTTCTTGTATCCTTTTGCCCGGTATTGTTGCTGCAAGATTACATTTCCAGGATGAAATGTTTAAAGAGTTTTTTTCGATCATATCGAAATCACTTACTTCAGTTCCACATAACATCATTTTGGAAGTTATTCCAAACAGCGCAGAATTATATTCACCAACGCTCTTGTAATCTTGAAACAGAGGTTTAACCACTCATGCCTAGCCTTTGGTAAGATCACATACGTCTGGTGATCAAACCTATTTTGGAGTGATTGCCAAAGATCTGTGGGATCTTCTTTCGTGATATATTCATCTTTTAAACCATCATAGATGTGGTGGAATAAAAATATCAAGGCCTTTGCCTTTTTCTCTTCTGAAATCGTTTTCGACTTATCGATGGTATCAAGGAGCTGCATTCCCTTCAAATGCATCTTTGCAATCACTGCTCATCTCATGTAATTATTTCCTGATATATCAAAGGGCAGCGATCTCGAGCATTGCCATATTTGACATGATAACTCTTTGGTATAGGAACGGTTCATGCTGATAACGTTTTATGGACTATTAGCTAATTATATGTAAAGATGAGTAAGAGTTTGTGTTCTAACTTAAGAGATAAATAAAGAGAGTAGAGGGAGCAAAGCTTTTATTCTTTTCACTTATATTCTCTTTATTGTATTTGTAATGGTAGTAGTACCTTTCTCTTCATTACAATCATCTATTTATAGATGAAGAGATAGAACAAAATCAAGGCATGTGTAATGGTGATTAGGATATCACCTCTTTCTAATACAAAGATTAGTGTCCAACTGATGGGCTACGCGCCTAGGGTTGTTTTTCATACAAGCCCATTGGTCCATAAAGAAAGTTCTAAATTTATAAAACCCTAAAATCTGAAAGTGCACAGATGTACATGTAGAACTTAGGGTGTCGATCCACAGGGACGATGTCTAATCTGCAAGAAACAACAAACTAGGAAGTAAGCAAAGTCATAAACCAATAAAAGTTTTGGGGTTTTTGTTTAAGAGTCCTAAACTAAACCTAATCTAATATTCATAAGAAATAAAATGCAATGCAGGATGAATTGTTAAAAGGATATCTCAAGCATATTGACTCAAACTATAGATCTAAAACTCATAGGGTGCGATTTAGACTTCTCCGGTTTACTCTAATTGATGTATGGTGACATTTCCAATAAGCTTCCGGGCGATTTATCTTCATCTGTTTCTTGAAATCTACATGGAACTAGAATAAACACAAGTATGATTAACCAACTCTCGTCATCTTAATTAACTAATCACTTAGATCTGACAATTAACTCTCGCTCTCATGACAGAAATAAGATCATGCATTAGACATTGAATTTGTCTGCTCACATCTTCTCTATAGGTAGATTTCGACTCCCATAGCGACTATGTTCTTCTGAAGGTATGGATGATCTGATACAACACTCTCGTGGCTCTGATCGATTCTAGGCTCAGAGAATAGGTCATGAATCTACTCTCATGCAATATGAACAACTTATAAGAGATGAGATTCAGAATATGGTTTAGAACTATAGAAATCCTGATCGATATATATGCTTGTCGATGACTCTTAAAAAAAATTGACTCTCTGGGACTAATCTACATGATGCAAGGAATGATAAAAGACATAGAAAATGCAAAAGAATGAAACAGAAAAGTTACTAGAATAGAAAGGAGAAAGAACAATGGATCTGCGGAAGAATCCCCATCTCCATCGCCTAACCCTAGGAAAACAGAGTTTGGTGGCTCAAAATCTCATTACAAGAGCACACACCCGTTTAAAACTGCTAAACAATGTATTTATAAGTCCTAAGGCCTTGCAGGTCTCATTTAGGACTTCTCTGAAGAGGAATGGCAAAGTGGGCTTTGATGTTGGGTCTTGTGGCTTGTCCTTAGGTCCACCGGGGGTGAGAGTCTTCCAGGGATGGTAAAACATGGTTTTGCCGCGGGTGAGAGTCTTCCGAGACCGGTAAACTGGATCAACTTGTTCTTTATGTATCTTTTGATTGCACCGTTGGATCTTTGTGATGTAAAGTGCTATGGAAATCTGGTTGTCTTCTCTTGATTATACCTAAATTTGAGCTGGATCAGACAGTGAGAAAGTTTTCGTTTGAAGCTGAACTTTTGACGGTCTGACTCTGAACTAAAAATGTGGATTTCTTCCATTTTGCTATCATTTTCTCTAAGTTTCCTGAAAAGAGCTTTGAAACTACAAATACATGGAAATCATAATAAAAATTTCTAAAACAGATTAAAACCTTTGAAAAAGCATTTGAAATCAATGGTGAAAAAGGTTTAAAATCAGGTGTTATCACCAACTAATTGACAAGTGTCCAAAGAAGTGTAGAAAGATAACAAGTAATAATGTGATGGATAATCACACCTTTTTCTTAACAGTAAAGACTTTTTAGTTTTTATAATATTTTCAAGGGGTTTTTGCTAAAAATAACCTAAAACTTGACTTTGAATACAAAAGTAGACCCCTGAAAAAACATTTGGTAGAAATAACCTAAAGAGGTAGTGAAAAGACCATTTAATCATGTATGAGTAAACAAAAAACGGATGTCCTAATTACCGTTTACACCCAGACGAAGTCACTAAAGAGAGAAAGAAGTCTATTAGTAGACTTCTTTAATCGAAATGAAGTCTACTAAGTAATTTAATCGGGAAATTTAATTTTAAAATTTAAAAAAATTATTTTGGTATCAAATTTACATTCATAAATTCCGTAATTGTAACCCAAATGTACATAAATTATGTTTTCATATTGCTAAATGGAAATTTATGTTTTTAAATTAAGTAGATGAAAATTTATTATTTAGGTTTTAAAAGTTGTAGACTTCTATATTGAAGTCTGCTAAACCGAATAAATTAACCTAACCAGAATTTAAACCGAAATTAAACCGGGAATAACTTCCCCTAACCAAGAAAAACTGCCCGTAACCGGGTAAATTTACCTAGTCCCCGTAAAATTATTAACCCTAACCGAAAAAAACTTACCCGAACCGAACAGAATTACCAGACTATATAAAAGGATTTTACAGATCCCGTAAAAAAAACCGTCGAAGGTTCCTGTTTAAAAAAAAAAGTCGAAGGCAATTTCTGTTTCTCTTCTCCGGCGCCGCCGATTAACCCGTTCAGGTAAGTTTTCTTCCTCCAACCTCACCCACATGCTTCCCTACTCCTCCGTTTCATCACCTTTCCGTCTTCGTAACCACCAGTGTCCAGATCTGAAATTAGGGTTTTTTTTTTTTGCAGATCTTCTTTCGTCGCTGGGGGTTAACGTTATTTCCTGCCTCAAAACGGTTAGTAGATGTCCTTCCGAAGATATATACTTAGCTATTCCTCTTTCTTCTATCTTTCTGTAATTTTGTCCGTCGGGTTTGAGTACATAGGTTTTTTTTCCCAGATCTGGTTGCATTTTCTCGACGCCGGCTTTATCTAATCACGGCTGTAAACAATATTAACTTTGTAGATTCCATTTGGATGATTGGTTTAGTAGACTTCATATACAGTATTTATCATGTATTGATTGCTTCAGTTGGCTTCAGTAGACTGCATATGCAGTATTTATGATGTTTTGATTGCTTCATGTGGTTTCCGTAGACTTCATATACTGTTTTTTGATGTTTTGATTGCTTCAGTTGGCTTTAATAGACTTCTCGACTCGGATTGTACTTAGAATGTGAAAGTAGACTTCCTTTGGCAAAAGTAGACTTCATTTTGGAAAAAAGTAGACTTCCTTTGGCAAAAGTAGACTTCATTTTGCAAAAAAGTAGACTTCCTTTGGCAAAAGTAGACTTTATTTTGTAAAAGTAGACTTCATGTTGCAAAGTAGACTTCATGTTGCAAAAGTAGACTTCATGTTGCAAAAGTAGACTTCATTTTGTAAAAGTAGACTTCATTTTGTAAAAGTAGACTTCTCTTTGTAAAAGTAGACTTCATTCGTGTATAGTTTCAAACCCTTAGTTATAACTAGTTTTTCTCATTAGAGTTTTGTTACCGTTGATGCAGAAATCTGTGTTAGATAATGGTGGCCTCTGAATTTCCTAGAAGATTGCACACCAAAGGCGGTGAGCCAGCCCCGGATAAAAGCATCGGCTATTATGCTGATGATTATAGGCTGGTACCTGCACTACGGTCAGCTCTACAAGAGGATGAATGGGAAGAGATTTACGAGTCACCGTTGGGTGTCTTCTTAAAGTTCCACGACTTGGATTTTGGTTGGGCTTCTAGGCTGGTGCACCACATGCTGACCTTTCAGATAGTTTGCAAGCAGAGGTACGAGATATGGAGCCTGATTGGTACAACTCCAGTTCGGTTTTCATTGCATGAGTTTGAGGAGATCACCGGACTCAACTGTGGGTACGTGGATGACTTGGCTCTAGCTGATCTTGAGCTTTCCGATGAGATGCGAGAATTTTGGGAGCTAATGGGGGTCGATGTCGAGTCGGGCCCAAGCACTATTAAAATTATTGAAGCCTGTTCCAACTGCTCATCATGGTCTCGGGATGATAGGCTGCAGTTGGGATATCTTGGAATCTACGCTGGTTTCATAGTGGCGACGAGACCAGGCTTATCCACAAATGTCAACCATGCAAGACTAGTGATAGATCTTGAAGGTTTTAAGGAGTTTTCATGGGGAAGAATTGCTTTTCAACATCTGATCAAGTCTGTTAAGGAGAAAGATTTCAGCAAAAACATTCATATAGAAGGATTTGTGCAAGCTCTTCAAGTGTGGGTGTACTATGCTCTGCCGGATTTTGCTGCTGAATTTGGCGAACCATTGCCAAATGATCCTACACCTCTTCTGCTGGCTTAGAAAGGATCAAGAGGACGAAAGAACGTCAAAGCCAACATGCTAAAACAGGTACTGTATTAGTCTAGTCATTCTCATTTAGAAGTCTTGTTCCGTAGTAGACTTCTATATAGTAATTAATTTACAAAGTAGACTTCAGGAGTAGACTTCAGTGGTAGACTTCATACGTAGATTATTATATAGTAATTCATTTACTTATTGTGTTTTTCCAGGCTCGCATACAGTGCTGCGTGGCTAAGGACTGGCGGATATGTTTCTAGTTTGGGATGATGAGGAACAGGATCTGGATATTGTCAAGATTGTCAATGCAATCCATGACCCCCAATTCAAGTTCTCAAAAAACCAGTGGCGTTTGGAAGGTGTTCTGGGTGCACACATTGTCAAGGCAGAAGCAGGAAAGAGGAGCCTTCCCTCCGATGAATCAAGTCGCAAGAGAACCTGCACAGCCTCTGCCTCTGCTGCCTCTTTTGTTGGTGATGAGGGGTCGGAGTTGTTGCTAGTATGAAAGCGCACTTCGACCAATGCTTCCAAAGCTTTTCAACCAAGATGCTGAATGGTCTTGGTAGCTGTGAAAAGCAGATCAAAC